TTCTGCTGTGTTTGACTTGCATCTATTTGAAAGAGTGTGTGTGTAAACACAAAAGATATTTTATTTTATGTGCTGGAATGTTAAACTAATTTATTCAACTCAGAGAATGTTGCATATAATTAAATTTTTGCTTGATGCATAAAGTTAAAAGATTAAAACTGATAAAACAAGTTAAAAAAATAGATTTTACCATTTGATTACATTGTGTATGATGGATTATGTAGAAAAAGTAGAATTGGGCTGAAAGATCTATCGCTTTATCATCTCTTCAGGTTGTAAATCGTGTTTTTAAAAAGTAACTAAGTAACTAAGTAATTAATTACTTTTGAAAATAAGTAATCGGTAAAGTAACGGGATTGCTTTTTTGGGAAGTAATCAGTAATTAGTTACTGATTACTTTTTTCAAGTAACTTGACCAACACTGTCTGTGTGTGAGCTAATCTACTTATAGTATGCTGAAAAGTAGCATCAGTGGTTGGTGATAATGATATGGCTGCTCTGTGGCCATTTGTTATATTTATAATTCAAGGAATGAGAATAAAGAAAAAAATCACCGATAACAGTCACATCTTCTAACCTGTCATTTATTTGACTGTTGTTTAAAACAGAAGAATAAACAGTGCTAACTTTGTGTTTAGCCTTGTTAAAAGATCTTAACACTTTATCATGTGGTTACAGTATAAAATCTATAAGACAAAAAGTTTTTAAAGGTAACATTTTCATGATTTCATGAGTTCAGTTTAAAGACTAACAAAACAGTTTCACTAATAAAACAAAAATGGGATGAAAACACACGTAAATAAAACTGCTTTCCTAAAGTTAAAGGACCGTGGAACGCACTAATAAGTGGCTCGTTCAGTGCGTTTCCTTTGGTGGGCCGAATGTTACAAATACCGTCCCGTCGTCCTTGGTGCTCCTCGACACTTTATCTTCAAAAAAGCGCCCGGACCTTCGCATCAGTGGGGATGTCATGACTTCGTATCTGGTTGGACTAATTTCAAACAGGGCCGATGTTTTACTGTCAGACTGTTTGGTGACGAATGTTGAAGTCCTGGAGGAAACAAATACATTGCCAAAGCTGTCGCTCTCTTCATAAGTTTCACTGACAGTCTTCGTGCCAATTATTCCTGCGGGTTGCTCTGCGGTTTGCACTTCAAGAACACTGACCTTGCGCTGTGGGCCATTTTTTGAAGACTCGGCAGCTGCGGACTCCAGATCGCGGTTCACATTTTGACAACTGTCAGAGCAGCTATTAGTTTTTGGTTTAAATGTTGACATGGTTGGCTTTGGTTGATCACTTGGTTTTCTGGCAGCTGAGTGAATGGAGATGAATGATGGTGAAGACTGAGAGGAAGACTGTCTAATAAGGGGCTTATTGTGCCCTTTTCTCGACACTTCCTCTTTGGAAAGACTTGAATCCAAATCTGTCTGGAGATTTACATCGCTTGTCTCTTTTGTCTGACCTGATTTGGCCTTGCTTGAAACAATGCTTATCTTCCTGATGTTGTTGGCAGGTTGAAGGTTTTGCTCAGATTTCAAAGACTCATCGAACAGCCCCGACAACCCTGCAATGTCGGCCTCAGATTTCAGATTAGACACGGAGTACAGAGCCTTTTTAATCGTCTCTTCGATTTCAAGCAGCTTTGCTAAAGTCTGTTCCTTCAGGTTCATTATTTCCTTGCTTGCTTTTTCCAGATCTTCAAATGCCGTCTCAACTGAGGAGATGCTTTCAAGATCATCATCCTGGGTTTCTGCTTCAACTTTCTTTCCCTCCATTTTACTTTGCTTAGCGTTTCTCCTTGATGTACCCATCCAAGTAGGGACATTCTGGTATAATGTATTCAGTGAAGTGTCATCTACACTGCTGGCCTCTCCCTCTATTTCTTGCACTTGAGACAGGATCCCTTTGAGTTCCTCTCTTTTCCTAAAGTTTTCAAAGATTTCCATGGCTGCCTTTACATTTCCTTTTACGATGTCTTCCATGTGTACAGAGAGCCTTTGTCGTCTTTCATCCTCTGTCTCTCTTGCCTTCTTCTCTCTTAAAACAACTTTATCCTCAAATGTTGGTTGCTTTTGGTCCGGGTTGTTTTCCTGCACATGGCCCGTAGTGACTGATGTCTGCAGTCCGGGCTCGTGCTGTTTTTCTTGAGGTTTGAGATTTGATTTGTATTCTTGAACAGAAGTCTTTTCTGTCTTTTTATGACCTCTACCGTTATCATCTGTGATTGCTGCCTTCTTGGAAGTGTCTCTGTCCTTTCCTTCAAAGTTATTTAGTGCTGCCTTCGAGCTCGTGTTGATTTCATGCTCACCATCTTCATAACCCCTCATACGTATCTGTATCTCCTCAGCTGCATTGATTTTCTGTTTCACATTTTTCTCTGTTTTCACTTCACTGCTGTTTGACACGGTCATTTTGCAGTCTGATTTCCTCTCTGTGAGTTGTGCTGTTTCCTGTTTCTTGCTGCTTTCCTGAGCCTTTGGCTTGATTGGCAGATATACATTTGCTTGATTTGAGACTTGCATTTCTTCACTAACACATTTTTGTTGTTGGTATGTTTCATGTGAGCATTGTTTACTGAGTTTTCCATGCGTTGTAGTTTCTTGGCTACCCACAGAGCAAAACGACTGGCTTTGTTTTGGACGAATTACTACACTTTTTGTATTTTCTTTAACAGGGCAGGAAACTTTGTTAGGTGATGTATTTGGTTCTTCCACAACTACAGATTTTATCCATTGTGGCTTTGGTGGTAAAGCTGGCTTCTGCTCCTGTGGTTTCTCAGTCTTTTGAGGCAGTGGAGGTGGACTTGGCCTTTCAGAGCGGGGTGATTTAGAGGTTCCATTTGCTACGGGGTTGGGAGCTGAATTCTGTGTTGTAATAGATGGTTGTCCTTCACAGGTTACTGAAATTGAAGGAGATAATTTTGCGTCAGATGGAGGCACAGGCACCACAACACACTGCTTGTGAACTGTCTTGCTCCTCTCTGAACAAGCCCTGCCTGAATTTCTGTATATCATGGCAGCTTTATAGTCTCCTTTGGATACATTTACGCTAGACTTCTCAAGAGATTTGAGAGCCAATTGCACATTACCGCTTATAATATTTTCCTTATCTAGGAGCTTCTGCTCTGTTGCTGCACTCTGCAGAGCTCTAATGGCTGCTTTCACATCTCCTCTGATAACTTGTTCTGTCTCATCTTCAGTTGTCTGACTATTAAACTCACAACTTACAAAAGGTGGCAGTGATTCTGGGGCACTATTACTGTCTATAGCTGCAATCTGTTGACAAGCCTCAAAGGAGATATGGCTTTCCTGAGCTTTCTCTGTATCACTGACCTTCGGAGAAGTCCTGATTTGCTGGCATCTTGAGGAGGACGAACATGTTGATTGTGCCACTGTTGATGAGCTTTCCTCTTGTGCGGACATATTCAGGTTGTATATTTTTCCAGGAATGATGACTTCCCGCTCTACTTGCATGCTTTGCTGCTTTGCCATTTCAAGAGACCTTTTAGCTGCTTTTACGTCTCCAGATATAATGACTTCTTTTTGTGCTTGGTTTCCTTCGCTTTCAGGACCTTGAGCTGACAGGTCCATGTCATAAATAGTTCCAGGTGTAATGACCTCCCGCTCCACACACATGCTCTGTTGCTTTGCACGTTCTAATGATTGCATTGTTGCCTTGACATCTCCAGGGACAATTTCCTCCTTTGGTACACAGCTGTCAACACTGACAGAGCACTCTGATGAAAAAACCTTTTTGGTGTTCTTTACGTCCCCTGGTAAAACATCAGAAATTGTTCGTTCTGCCTGTTCTTTTTGCTGATAGAGGCTTCTCTTTGCTTCCCTCACACCCCCCTGAACTGTTTCAATCTGTTCCTTAGTCAGAAGGCTCTGATCAGCTTCGTCTTCAGACGCCTCGGTGTGAAGACTTTTGAGATAATGCAGATCTCCCTTTTCAATGCAGCTTTTGTACAAATTCACATTTCCCTTCTCTGTTTCGTCCACTCTGCACGGCGCTGCTATCCTCTGACAACTGGCAGTAGCTAACAAATTTCCAATTGTAGACTGAACATCTCCCCTCTCTGTAACCAGACTCTCGGTTTTGATTTCGTAATTGCAGATGAGTGAATAAACGGACATCTCTGCTTGTCCCGCTGCAGTCTCTTGCATTATGATTCCCTTTTTCAAATTATTTTGTGGAATGAGCAAGTCATCAATTACCTGGGCAATGTTTTGTAGTCTTTGATCGTGTTCGATGTTGACTGTGCCGGTCGCCTGGGAGACTGGAAGCTCGACTACTGTTATGTTAACTTTACCTTTTTCAGTTTCTCTCAGAAGAGTTACTTGTGGTTTGAGAGTCGGTCTGACCAAGAGCTGTAGCATGATGTTCCTGATGTTACCCTCAACAACATCCTCTTTCTCAATCTGCACCCCTTCTTTGTTTTCAAACATGTATTTCGCCATGTTAACATTTCTGCTGCCATCTGCCTCTATTATGATGCCGCTTGAGTGAACAAAAGCATTTTCATTCAAATACGAAAGGGTATCAGCCACACTGTTGGCGGTGATTTTGTCTAGTGGAGTGGTCTCAAAGAGCCAGGTGGTGCACTTCACATCAGCTTTTGGGATATCTTTAGCACTTTGCACTGTGGTTTCTTCTGGCTCCTTAATTTTGTCCAGCGGCTGCGATTCAAAGAGCCAGGTGCAGCGTTTCACATCTCCCTTCTGGCTATCTTCCCTGTGGACTGCTTTTACTGGACCCTGCTCCTGAGGCTCCCCTTTCAGGCTGTCAATTGTTTGATTCTCAAAGAGCCAGGTGGAGGTCCTGACATCGCCACGCTGCACATCAGTGACACTAACCATTCTCACAAACTTCTTGCACTGCTGCTCAGATTCAAATAACTGTTTATTCAGCTGCACATTACTGCTTCCAAAGTCTTCAGTCACCCTGACTGAGAGCTCATCTCGACTCGTAAGGGAGTCAAGAGGTTGTGTCTCAAATTTCCACCTGGCTGATTTAACGTCTCCTTTCTTGACGTCCTCCTGGGTGACAGCTCGTATGACGTAAACTTCATTCTCCGCCTTGATGGCATCGAGTGGTTTTGTCTCAAACATCCACCTTGCTCCTCTTACGTCACCACTCATTACCTCTTCCTTTTTTAGAGTTGTAACTTCATGAAACTGGCCCTCTTTGTCTCTGATGGCATACAGTGGCAGGGACTCAAACAGCATAGTGCTTGACTTCACGTCTATATTGCTCACAGGCTGCTCCACATTGACCCAATTCTGCTCAACGGGTTCATCGTGAATTTTATCCAGTGACGATGTTTCAAATATAAACTTTTTCTTCTGGACATCACCACTTTCAATACTCTCAACCCTTGGCGTATTTGTGTCATTATTGTCCTTGTTGATCTGGCTCATGGGGCAGTTCTCAAACATCCAAGTAAATTTATTTACAGAACCTTTCTCGATTTGTTCTCCTTGGTTCTGCTGATCAGATGCTGCCATGATTTCTGATCCTATTTCGTCAAGAGACTGGGATTCAAAGAGTTCTTTGACTCGCGAAACTTCCCCTGACTGAAAGTTCACTTGGCTGACACATCTCAGATTTTGGTCTGAATTTGTATCCTTTCTTATTCTATCCAAGGCCTCTGTTTCAAAAAGATGTTTCACAGTTTGAACACCAACCTCTGATTGGACTGAATCTCGTATGGTGCTGCATAGCTTCAAATTGTACTTTTCCCCATCTTTGATGCTATCTAGAGGCTGTGACTCAAAAAGCCATGTAATGGACTTGACATTGGTATCTTCAATGGCTTCTTTATCTTTTGCTTTTTCGGATTTGTCATACAAAATGTCCATTGGCTGTGTTTCAAACAACCATTTACAGGTCTTCACGTCACCTTTATGCGGCTCCTCCTCCAAAGAAGAGTTTTGCTTTGTCTGATTGAACTTTGAATGAATCCCATCAATTGTCTGTGTTTCAAAAAGCCACTTTGCCATTTTGACATCGCCTGTGTTGTCTTCCTGTCTTGTGATGCCTTTGATTACTTCCACATTTCCTTTTCCTTCTACCAGTTGGTCTAACGGCTTCGTCTCAAACATCCACTTATAGTTTTTGACTTTCCCTTGAGTGAATTCCTCTCGGCTGACTGTTGTAACCTTATGAAGGTTTCCAGAGCTGTCTTTTATTGCATATAATGGAGTTGTTTCAAATATTTCTCTGTTACCTTTTACATTTCCAACTGCAATAGACTCTTCGTTCTCGGTAATCTCCTCCCCAGAAGGAGCAATTTTGCTCAAAGGAATTTTTTCAAAAAGTTCTTTGAATCCCTTCACGTCACCTTTTTCAATCACTTGTTCTTTTAATGAAGTGCTCTTTTGAATGCTGCAGCTTTCAAATAACTGTTTTTTGTCTTTTACTTCACCTTGTTCTTCAGCTGAAAGGGTAATTTTCTTCAGGCTCCCGACTTCATAGCTATCACTAAGCGTCTCCATGGGCTGCGTTTCAAACAGCCAAAGGGAGGTCTTGACATCTCCCCCAATTACGTCTCCCTTTTCCAAAGACTTTTCTGCCATGTTTCCTGCTGCCAGTGGTTTCATTTCAAAGAATTTCTTCTTGTTGATGACATCAACCTCTCCTGTGCACTCAGCTATGGCTCCTTCAAATGTGTTCTCTCCTACAACCTCAGGTATTCTGTCAAATGACTCAGTTTCAAACATCCACCTCTTCCGGTCAACACCTCCTCGTTGACCCTCCTCTAGCGATATGCCCCGAATTATTTTCACGACATCAGTTCCCTTACTGATCAGGTCCAAAGGCTGGGTTTCAAAAAGCCAGCGGGCAGTGCAAACACCACTACTGTCGATCTCCTCCCTGCAGATGGATTTAATCTCATGCATATTGCCACTGTTGTCTCTGATAGCACAGCAAGGTTCTGCCTGAAACAGTTTCACGGTCTTTTGGACATCACCTTTCAGCTCCTGAAGCTCAGACCTCAGTTTCAGGAAACTATGATCTTCAATAGAGTTGCAGCGCCCCAAGTCACTCAGTGCTTTAGACTCAAAAAGCAGACGAGTCCCTCTTACATCCCCAGGCTGTACAGGTTCTTTCAGCACTGCCTCAACTAGTTCACCCTCTTCATTTACGGATCTATTTAAGGAATCCAAGGGCTGGGTCTCAAACAACCACATTGATGTTCTCACATCCCCCCTGACAGAAATCTGCCTTTTGGCAGACTGTAGTTGGGTGCTGTCAATATGTTCAAACATCGAGGAGGTGCTTCTTACATCTCCACCCTTTAACTCCTCATTATCCATCAGCTTTTTGGTTGAATGAGGATCTCCAATACTGTCCAGAGTCCAGTTCTCAAAGATCCACCTCATGGATTGCACTTCCCCCTGATAAGCTGCATCTGCTGCCTGAGTGTTTTCTGACTGCACTGCCTTCATGATCTCATCATCCACTGCGTCATCAAGACTTGCCCGTAAGTCTGGGTGGATGTGTTTAAAGAGCCTCTTCAGCTCATTTTTCTGCCGTTGCTGGTAGAATGTGGAGAAGGTTTCTTTAGGTGGAGGCAGGGGAAGGCTACTTAACGATGAAGGCCCTTCATAGTTGAGAGGTCTATGTGGTACTGGGGGAGGTGGGGGGAGGGGCAAGTCATCTTCTTCAGGAGATGATTGTAAAACTGTGACTTTTCTTGTCTGGTCAGCCATCTTGAAACAATAAAAGAAATTCAAGAATATTATCAGGATCTAGTGATCTAGTCAACAAAAAGAGCATTAAAACAATACATGCAAATATTACAATGACATGCATTGCAAGGAAAGCCATACTTTACCTTCTTTTATGCTCGCTTCGCTTCTTTTATGCATTTTCACCCCAAACCATCCTCAGTCACACCAGGGTTACCAAAAACACTTCACAGCTGTTAGTAGGCAAATATCACACATACACGCCGCCGAGGCTGCTAGTGTGGCTAGTTGTTTTTAACTTTTTTAGGTGAAAACAAGCGAAAACAGTGTTAAATTTAAATCTGCATTAAGTTTTTTTTCTGGCTACGTTGTTGCAGTGTAAACTAGGGTTGGGCATTGTTAAGGACAGGCTGCCATCAGTCAACCAGCTATTGTTGATATGTTCACAGAGATATGCCACATGCACTGATAGAGACGCTTGTTGAAACGGGAAAACAAAAACAAAAAACAGAATACAAAAACTCCTAATAGAGATGATTCACTTTCAATCCCAAAATAAACATTCAGAAGAAATAACAAAAGCTAGATTTTGTGTTGTTGGTGTCCATGGAGAACCAGCAACTCACTGGTATAATGATTACCCTTAATCTTTACTATTCTGATGGAGATACTCTGTGTCTGTGTTCAATTCTGTGCTGGAGCTCAGCTCAACAGAAAGGATGGAGGCACCACCTTGTGGTCATTCTCAGTTTTTCAACATAACTACATACAACTACAATTAATTACAAACCAGAAAAATTTAAACAAAAATAAATTATCTAAATGATTTAAACATACCTGACCCTTTGTGAAAAAGTAACATCCTGAATGTTGCATTTAATGTGAGCTCGTAGGTTTACTGTGTGTTTGATGGTGGAAGCAAAGACTTAGATGCACAGCACACAATACTGAGAAACCACATTCTCCTGTAAAGGTTTCTAAATGACGTATACTGTACCTTACTGTTTTTAGCCCCTTTTCCTAGTGTACCAATGAATTCCTGTTAAACAAAAGCAAAGAGTGATTTAAATCAGTTTGAATCACACAGAACTTTATTATTTGTTACATATATTCATTAGCACTGTGTTCCACACATTTCAAACATGCACTAAAGTGTTGAGGCGCTCCTGTTGTGACCTAGCACACAGAAAATTCCCCATTGAAGCCTTTGACCTCACTTTGTGGGGAGGAATGAGAAGCATTTCAGGAACTCACTGGTTGTGTTGGGCCTCCTGTGGTGTCAGTGGCTGCTGTTCTTGACAGATAGAGAGTTGATCTGTCTCTCACTGAGAAGGAAGTAGATGTTCTGTCTCTGGTTTGTCTCGTTGGGGTGCCCCCTTTAGTCAGTGAAGAGCTGTATTTGTCCTCTGCAAGAGCAAGATCCGACATGAAATTAATGTTGACTTCTTTATTAGATTTGCCCAATAATACATCTGGAGTCTTGGGATTTCTAGTTTAAACCTAGTGGCACACACATGCATAAAAGTGGAACAACAGGATACTGCTGTATCCTAAAATAAGCAAAGCTGTGCGTGTCCAGTGTCAGCAACAAGTTGAATGATAACGCCGTGTCTGTGTATTTTTAGTTATGGTGGAATCTGTCTTATCACTGTTGTAGCTTCCTGTTACCTCATGGATTCTAGTTCACATGCATTATGCCATGAAACAGCATATGTTTTAGTAAAGAGAGATATTGTAACAAACAAGTCAGATTACGAGCTTTGATCCCGGGAGATAAATAGGCCCACACAGCCCTCCCTGCTGCACAGGACTATCATCAAAATGCATTCCACGGATTGACCATGACACCCAAGAAGAAGAAAAAACAGCAACTGCTAGCTCAGCTTGAGCGACACAGATTGTTTGCACATTGTTTGAATGGGCTCTCTCCCATCAAACCATCAACACCTGACCAAAAGAATGCAACAGCCCAGCCCAGTAAACCACATGCATGTTCTGAAACTGATTTTTGTTTATGCAAAAAAACACCCTGCAATCAGACTGTATTAGCTGAAATTTGTTCCTCAGCTGGAGTTCAGTAAATATAATGAGTTTAGAAAAAAAATCAACAGCAGCATCATGAAAAATATGTTCAGAGGTCAACAGCACAGTATGCTGCACAGGCCATCCAGCTGTAACTAATGGCCAGATTTAAACACACCTCCCTTTTCACACACTAAGCCCTGACGGGACAAAAGGATGGCCTGGCAAGCCGGCGCCTCTCACGAGTCTGGACTTAAAGCATTTTCACAGATGGGTGAGCAGACAGAATCATACAACCGACTGCCATGCCCCCCCATGAAAGTCCTCACCCAGTAAACCGAGAGGTCAACTGTCACTCATCATCGACGTGTGTTCACAAACATCCACGCAAACTTGTCTCGACAGAGGAAATAATGAAAAGACTCATTATTACAGACTCGAAAATGAAATTAAGCGTCAATGACACAACTGGAAACTTTTTTCACTGATTCCAACGTTTTCTGAGCAATGTCTGCCGACATCTCTTTGATCTGGGTTAATTCTTCAGGAATGAAGAGGAGCTATTAGCAGCATGCTAATGGGAGGAAATTTTGGGATGCTGGCAGCTGTACAAATGATGGTTAAATGCAGCTGGCATTTGTTCTTCACCACCACCGCAGCCTTTTACCTCCATCAGCTGTTGGCAATTGTAGCTACATTCATAGACTGTAATGAAAACCAACATCCCAAAGGACAACTTGTATTATAGGGTCCCAGATCCCCCATATAGCACTGTGTGTTACACCATTTGCCTACATCTAGGAGTTCATTTTTTTCCTTTCATTTGATTTTCATTTTCCAATGTTTCTGAAGATATAGAGAAGGAAACAGACTGACTGTCTAACATATGACTTCCAGTTTCAACCATTTGTTTGAAACTTGAGGGATAGCGTACCGATGGGGTCTGACGGTTGATGAGCACTTAATGAAGAGAGCATTATATTCATAAATTACTGCCTTTATAGCTCAGTCATAAAAAGACAGGAGCAAAATTGCAAATTTCAGAATTTTCTATACTTTGTGATTGCTGTTGAAAAAATCTGTTTTTCCAGTACAACTTCATCTTGTCTCAACAATAACATCGTGAAATTTGACAAAATAAAGTCCAATAATACAAAACATGTGCATCCAGGAACCTTTCTCTGTCATTATATAGTGCTATTGTCATTTTACTGTAGCGGCACAGTCACGCTATTTGGCCTCATATGAAGAAAGTTAATAAATACTCACTAAAACACCATCCAGCGTTGTTTCCCTGTGTATTTCTGCTGTGTTCACTCCCAGGACCCCTGTGATGTGTGATGTGTAGTAGAGCCTGTCTCCTCTTTCAGTGCTCTCTGTGACTGAACTCTTTCTAGTCCCGTGGCCTTGGTGACAGCTGATTTTTATCAGTGCCTGCTGTCCCAGTGGAAGACTTTGGCTATTTTGGGATGGTGGGCTGGCTGCTGCTACTCGCCTGAGTCAATCACCTCTGTTAGTCACTGTTGGATTGGGACACCCCTCATTTCCACAGATACATTGTCACCTGCTATAACAGGAACTGGGTGGAACCAATAGTATGTGTGTCAGTGGATGCTCGGCAGCCAATATATTGAAAGAAAAAATACAGACAAATGGTCCTATTTTGGTAAGTTCTACTTGGGTCCTGGCATTCATGAGGATGTCACTCACACGCCTAAACAGTATTTTCGGCCAACATACACCTTCAAGTGTCCCATTGGACAGAACAATGTACACCCCCCGCACTGCCAAACGTACTCATGAACAGCTCAAGGAACATGACACAGATCCAAAGGACCTGATCTGGCCTCCAAACTGCCCTGATCTCAGTCCAGTCTTTTAAAATGCTAATTCTCACTCTCTTTTTCCACACTACCTACACTTTAAGTATCACTAGGACAAAATTTCACCCTAAATTCAACAGAATTAGATGGCAAACGCTGGGAAATTACACCATAAGCCATGGGCTGTATTATGAAATGCTACCAAATATTTCAGCTTTATTTTGGAACAAACACAGCTGACGTTACTGGTTGTTCCTTACTTATACCAGGTTCATCACAGGGTAAGGACGTCAGTATTGCTGAAGCAATATCAGTAATGGGTCACGGACAGGCATGGCTCAGAGGGCCAAGGCCTGCGTCACGGTCAGAACTGGTGGTGACACTCTCAGTTCTATCTTAAGCATGTGTGCCGGGCACATAGTTATGCATTTACAACACTACATCCTTGTCTTTATTTAGCTTCTTTTTCCTCCCACCACCAAACACCACATGGGTTGCCACTGCTTCGTAAACTCGGTCAGGATTTACATGGTGACACTTTA